TTGTCATCCCCACCAAGATTGTAAGGCCCATCAGAAAAGAAATGTGTCAGTCTGCCTCAGGCACTGGCATGCTTAGAACCCAAGACCTGTTGGATGTTACTAGGTACTCAGTATATATTTGATCCATTATAATTCCTACAGATTGCAGCTCCCCCATAGAAGAAAGCAGGCAGTTCTCAACCTCAAGCTAGGGGTTGTGTATGCATGCATGTGTGTGATTTAAAGCTCAACTTCTGTTGCTCCGAGACTGGTGGCAGAACATTCTGCCTGGAGAAACTCCATCAGTCCGGTTCTCCACTGAGAGCCCCAGTCTGTGCCTGCTCTCTAGAACCTGCAGCGACTGGGGGCGGCTGTGTGCCTCATGGCTATTCATCAACTGTTTCATTCCTTTTCCTTGCCTCAAAGACCATTGTGTATCTGTACTTTGCCCAGAAGGACATTCATGTTCACAGTGGTGAGATAAATTGCCCAGAGCCTGGCAACCAGAAGTAGGAGTCACTTGCCCCCCCTTTATCCACGGTCTCCTGGTACTTCCAGAAACAAGCTCCAAGAGTCTCGGGTGCCCTAGGAAAGGTACCCCCTCTCAGTACTCCACCTCCAAAGCCCTAAGGGATCCTGTACTCTGCCATGCAAAATAGGGGGCCCCTGAAACCGGACACACTACCTCTCAATTCCACATGGGGGCACAGGCTTCTCTCTCCTGGGAAAACCCTTATACAATGGGGCTGATTTCTTCTTGCCCTATAAGATCTACACACACAACAAACACACAAGAGATACCCCCAACAAGACTCTTCCCTAAGAAAATTAATATGTGGGCAACAATGTTTATCTAAAAGGAGTTCTTTTATATAAAATTATTATTTATGACATTTGAAAAATGGTAACTGCCTAAAAGGTTTTTAAAAAGGAAAACTTTCATTATTCGTGCACCTTCTGTAGGGTATGCTAGTATGGAAGTTTGTTATTCGTTGTGGATATTGAATCCAGCAAAAAGTCTTCTCCGGGCAAGGTTAAGTCAGTGTCTGTCCACTGGCATGCCACAGAGGACTGCTGTGGCTTCTCATGCAGGCTTGTCATGGACAGGTAGTTTCCTTTTGCACTGACTGTGATGCTGCCTTTGATCAGGCTGAGAGAAGGCTGATCAGTGGCTTCTGTGAGGTGGCAGGTGAAACTCCAGGCACACCAAGAAAAGAAGGAAGCAATTAGCATGTCCAAAGGGCTTCACTACATGAATGTCTAAGAGGAATGAACAGTCAGTGTGCACAAAGGTCACTCAGTGCCAAAGGGTGATCCATATAGACGTATGATTACTATACAGGCAAATGCATCCTTTGGAATGTTCTGCCTAAAATACAAGCACTCAAGAACGCTATTCTATTGGTTAGAGTTATGCTGTGACAAATAACGCCCTGGTCAAAGTGTTCTTTCTCACCACGTGGCTAGTCCGGTGAGGGCGTTCCTGGCCAGGAGGCTGTTTTTCCTCCACTTGGTGATTCAGGGACCCAAGCACCTTCTGACTAGCTCTTCTATCCCTTACAGCCTGAGTCCAGCATATGGAGAAAAAGAATGTTGCAAAAGTCACCTCTGAATCCCCACAAGACACATCACTTGCAGCCTGATTGTAATGGTGACAGTCAGAGCCTCATGTAGGTGAATGGTCCTAGGAACACGAGCCCCGCTAAGGAGCCTCTTCCCAGCAACACCTCTACACAGAGGAGAAGGCGTGCTTCTGTGGACCACTGCCCTCGTCCATGAGGCCCTCAACCCAATGAAGTGTGAAGCACTAGGTAGCAGGTTTTGTTGCATGTTTTATGCTATGTGATGGAGAAGTGGAGAAAAACCAATACTACCTCATTGGGAAAACAATGCCTCCTGCTCCCAGTATTTTGTACATAGATTGAACCACAAACCTGGAAGACAACCTCATTAAGGTTAAAAAAAAAAAAATTCTGGGCCCTCCCTGGTGGTGCAGCGGGTTAAAGTAGAGCACTAAAGCTTAAGCCACTTCCGCATGAGTTCGATTCCCGCCTGCCCTGGAGGTGACCACATGGCGTGGCAGACCTCTCCTGACCCGCCCGCTGCTCCCCTCAGCAGTGTACTTTGTCAATCTACCTGTTCTGCTCCCCCCTCTGTCTCTGGTGAACCCTCTCACCCTCCACATCTCTGGCCTGTACCCCAGTTCTATATGAATAAATAAATAAATCTTTAAAAAAAAAAAAAAACTTCTGGGTATTTTATCTGGAACTTTCCTTTATTGCCCATTTTCACTCCAGGGACCACATTGGCTCAGGCCTCTGTGCCCATTCCCCTGATGGCAATTTGGTCTGCTGCTCACAATATAGCCCCCCTTGAGCCCTGCTGCCCCAACATCCTTGCTCACTCTAATTTCTTGTTCACTCTAGTTCAGGAGCTGACCCTGGCCTAATTGGTTGTCACAGAGCTGGCTCTAGTGCGTACATGTGGTTTCTGAGGCACAAGTGCTTTCTGGAGAAAGAACCACCTGGAACCACTTCTGGAGAGAGAGCGGACATCAAGTGGTGAAATGCCACATGAAGGCAGGGGTAAGGTCCGTCCTGCTGGCCATCTTCACCATCATATCCTCAGACACTTTGCACACTGTTTCAAAAGCCCGGGCCCCTTGCTTCCTGTGGAGCTGACGCCTCAGGGACCTCAAAACCCTCAGAGGCTGACTGGTGGCTTCAGAGGAGTGGAAGGAAACTACATTGTCACTGAGTAACTTGTTGTAGAAAAGAAGAACAAGTGAATGAATGAGTATTCATGATCTTGACATATTGACATAGAAAATAGTAAAGATAAAATATTTGCGACAAAAATAGAACACATAGTCAGTGTGATTATAATTTAGGAATCTCACATCAAAAACAAAAAGAATGAAACTTTCAATACTTCCTAGTCTTGCAATAAATATGTATCATCTAGCCCACCAAAGCGTTCAGTAGCAGTTCTTACAATGACTGTCATTTGCCAATTCAGGCCTATGCCTGACAACTCTCCCCGGAAAAAATGGATGGAGCCCATTAAGGTGAAAAAAAGGCTCCTGAGGTGTTTCTTCCCATTTTATTGCTCATTTTTTTAATTAGGCAAATTTTATGTGTGGTAAATGGTAGGAAATCTAGGTCCATTTGGTTCAACACATTTCTCTTAACTCCCTTAGGGATCAGTTCAATCAGTTCAATAATGTAGCCTCATTTAAAAAAAAAATCACTCCCAAATTATGTAAATATTTGTATTATACATTCATTAAAAGACTAGATAAGAAAAGATACAGAGTATCTTTGGTTCCTGTATTAGAAACAATTTTCTTTTGTATACATTGCTATATTTTCCAAAACCTTCTACCTTGTCTACAATCAGCTTTAAAAATCCCTGGTGTTATGTTTTTAGTCTATCTAGTGTTCCCTCCTGCAGAAAATGTTCTGTCCCCAACCCCAAGGACACCTGGAAGGCCCTCCTCACCCTTCTCATAATGTCCTCCACATTTCACTGAGCTGCTGGAGGTTGTTTGCTTATCCATCTCCCAACAAGACTGCTCTTAGAAGGAAAGGACTGATTCTGCAATGTCTCTGAATCCCCAGGGCCTAGCACTTAGATTAAGCATTCCTAAAGGCTTGTGGATGAGATGAAGAAGTCAAATAAGAAGTATACAATTTGCAGCAGACCTTTCCTGTCCCTCCCGCTGCCCCCTCAGCAGTGTATTTCAGTACACCTGCCTGTTCTGCTCCCCACTCTTGTCTTTGGTGAATCTGCTCACACACACACACACACACACACACACACCCCTCTGGTCTGTATCCCAGTTCTTGTGTGCATAAATAAATAAATCTTTATTAAAAAATAAAAGTAGGCAGTTCAGGTGTCTGCACTCTAAATCCAGATGCATCTCTGTGACTTCAGGGATCCAAGGTTTGCTCCAAGGTTGGCCTAACCTGGGGCTTGGAAAGAACCTGGAAAGCAAATGAGAAGATTTTGAACAACCACTGCCCACCCCTCATCCCCAACAGTTCCGCACCCGGGTTGTTGAACCCAGTGGGAGTGAGAGTTGAAATCCAACTTAGGTTTTCCTGGCAAATGTCAAGATTAGTCACATGAGGGCACTTGGAGGATTCCCCCAGTCTGCTCATTCCTTAGGCATCACTCACTTAGGGAAGGTCCCCACGGAACAAAGGAAACCCCAGGCCTTGGGGCTGGCCTTTTTCCAACAACAGCTGGTAGCAGTTTGCATTTAAAACTAAACCACAATTAAAATAAATGTGGGGGGGGGGGCAGGGAAGTACCCACTGGCTAGAACTTAGGTTCTAACTGTCTTCCAGAAATTTCTTCTAGAGGGCTGTGAGAGCCATGCAAGATCAAAAAGAAAGCTTTGAAATGTAAAGTTTAGCATGAAATTTAAACCAACGCCTGGTTCAATAATGGATGTGTACTGTTCCAGAGCCTGTGAGCTTCACAGTGCCCACCCTGTAGGAACCGACGCCAGCAGAGCGCTGGGTTCTCTGCCAGAGGCCGGTGGACCTAGGAGGCTCTCAGGATAGCCGTCCAGGAGCCTCATCTGCGAACAATTCCATCTGACCCTTCTCGAACTCAGGCTCCTGCCCCTCCCTCAGTGTCATCGAGAAAAACTAATTCCTAGACCTGTAGGTTGCCCAAGAGCTGTTCACGGTCGGTTCTGAGTCAGGGCGCCTCCGCACCCACGGACCGCCTAGATTCTTTGATTTCCGCACTCACTCACTTTTTAAATTCAAAGCCGAGGGGAAGGGCTCGGCTAAGGGTGGGGGAAATATTTGAGTGCCTCTGGGAGTAAGTGAAGTTTACACTAACAGCTCTCGCTGGGGGCAGTACAGGCCAGGTGCGAGGTGCGCGGGCGCAGCGGCACAGAGAGCAGGGTGTGAGCGGCGCGGGGTGTCTGTGCTCGGGGGAGGAGTAGGGGGTGGGGTGAGCGGAGGCCAAGATCACCCGCCCAAGCTCCTCCTGCTAAGGCCCCCCCCCTCCGGCGCCCAGCGTACTAAGGCGCCCGGTCCGCCGCGCTCCGCTCACTGGCCGAGTATCCCTGCTAACGGAGCGTCCCCCTTGCGCCTCCGGCCAAGGTGAGTTCTGCCCTCTGCTCCCCGACCCGGCCCCGGGGGTAGCACCTCCGCGGTTGTGCAGACCCACCCGGCCCGGCTTCCAGGGATGCCCCAGGCACCCGGGGTCTCGTTGGGGAGTGCCTGCGGGGGAGGGATACCCGCTTTTCCGCGCTTGGGGCAACACCTTAGCGAGGCGAACCGCGTCCCTCCCGGACGCCCGCGCGCCCCAAGCCAAGTCCTTACGGAAGGCGGAAGGGTTTTGTGTGCTTTTAGTTCAGGGCCTCGGTAACGGCGTTCCCGATCCGCTTTCTCCAACTTTTTGGGTCCTCTTTCTTTACTCCCACTTTCCTAGTTTCCAGTAGTCCCTGAGCTATCCGAACCCCCTCTTGCGGCCCCCACCCCGTCTTGGCCAGCATGTTTCTTTGTGCTACTAGCTGACCACTGTCCACATGTTCGCAGCCTCCTCCCAGCTGGCTGGCTCAGCAGACTGGCGGAGAGCTGGGGAGGGTCGGGGTCCGGGGTGGGGGGGTGGCTGGGCAGCCGGCAGCTGTGGGATTCCACTTTTCAGCACTCTTCTCGGTTCCTCATCCTAATAGTCAGATTGGGCTTCCTGTTGTTGTCTGCTAGAGGCAGTTCTCACTAAGAGAGGTCTATTTGCTTTCTTTATAAAACAGGTTTTTTGTTTGTTTGTTTGAGTTTTTTTGTGTTTTTTTTTTTTTCAGGGGGCAGGGAGCTCTGTGAAGTGATTTCTCTACTTCCCTTTTTGCTAGCTTAGTTAAACAAGGGGCCTAATGAGGGAGCTTCTAACCCATTAATCTGGCCCAGTGCAATGAACCAGACGTTGCTGGCGCCTGGTCACAGTTTGAATTTGGCCAAAGACAGCGATTGCTCCAGCCTTAAGGGCCCCACCTTACCGGTGGTGAGGAAAGCAGAGCAGTGCGGCAGCAGGCCAGGCACAGGGAGTCCTAGGCTGCATCCTGAGATGAGTTAAGCCCACCCTGCCTCCCTCCCCAGGGAAGGAGGGAAGCTGGGCTCACTCTGCAGGCGTGGCTAGCACAAAGGACTCCGGATTCTCCTGTGGTGGTGGAGGCCTGTGACTCAGCTGTGAGACCATGTGGGTGTGGCTCCTCTAGTTCTAGATATGCTCTTGCAGATGGCTCAGACAGAACTGTATCTAAAGGAAAAGGAGAACTGTGCCATCTTAGAGGGCATTTTCCAACAGGAAGTGAGTCATACCAGAATTGGCCTGCATTCTGAGGAGGACTCTCTTGACCAAACCGTGGGTGAGGCAGCAATTAGATTGGCAGGGCCATGGCCAGACGCTGCTGTTTGCTTGCTGGCAGGCTGCCCCAACTTCACTTGGGAGGTAGCTATTCCCGTTAAGAGGTTTGCAGTTGCTGCAGATTTTTTCCCCCTGCAGCTTGAGTTTGAAGCTGCAGCAATGGGTTTTTATATCCTGTGCTTCAGGTGAGGCCAAGCCCATGCATACTACTGTCAGTGATCTTTGTCTCCTAGGGCTTTTCAGCAATTTGTTAACGGTCATGCCAGGTCTGGGACAGGAATGAATTTATACGACTCATCTGAAATGCCTTCATCAGCCCTTCCCCCCAGATTCCTATGTAGTTTCTATTTATTTAATCAGCTGTTCTAAATGGTGTGTACCGTCCTGCAACTAGAGCTACTTTATTCATCATTTGGAGTTTCTTGTTTCAGTTCTTTGAATTTTCTTGAGGGTTTGGTAGGCATAAAGCCTGCTGGTTTGGGGTGATGGATTTTCCTGTATACAACGTCATAAAGGCCTTGTCTTCCCATGTCTGGCCACCCCAGTGAGGTCAGGCCTTGGGCTGGGTGGAGCCTCCCTGATTTCCACTGACAGTTCCAAAAATAAGACTTTTTTAGTGTACTACCCATTTTGTATGCCCTTGGACACAATCCAGTCTTTTAAAGTTGAGGAAACAATAGAATCCTTTCAGGATTATAATGTATAAATTTGCAGTAGCATGCTAGAAAAACCGGACGAATGTTTAAGATCTTTCTTAAGCGTCTCATTTTCCTGGGAACTCAACAATTTAGGAATCTCACATCAGAAACAAAAAAGAATGAATGTACTTATTTTTAACAATTGTCAGCACTTCTTAGCCCTTTACTAAATAACTACCATCCAACCCACCAGTGGATTCAATCATAGTTCTCTGACAATGATGTCATTGGCCAGTTTTAGCTGATGCTTGACAAATCTTCGAGGAAAACGGATGGATCCTACTGAGGAAGAAAAGACTTGAGTTCTTTCTTCCAATTGAATTGCATCTAGAACTTTCCTTTGCTGCCCACTTTTTTAGTGGACAGGTTTTATGTTTGGCAAAGGGCGGGAGAGACAGCCTGGCTCTAAATCCAGTGGCTCAACTATTGTTTTCTGAATTCCCTCTAGGGATCAAATTCAAGAATGCCTTCTGGTTCGATTTAAAAAAAAAAAAATGTGTTTTTCTCTTCCTCAAAGCAAAAACCAAAAAAAAAAAAAAATCCTCAAAGCAAAAGAAAGAAAGAAGACCTCAAACACATTTTAAATGACAGATGTTTGTTTTTTAATAACAGCCTGCCACTTTTTTCTGGGTGGGCTGAGAAAATTGGGGTATAGACAAGATACAGGAGATTAAAGTAAAGCAGCCCTCTGACTCTTAGAAATACACTTTTTGAAGTCACAGTCTGGATCTGGGAACGGGTCCAGAGCAAACATATGGGACTATACAGGAACACTTTTTGCAGGAAGCCTCCTGCATCCCGACCACTCATGGGAGAATCCAAATTTACATTACTGCCTATTTCATTTTTTTAAACGTCTATTTCATCTGTTTATACGTACAAGAGCTGGGGTGTAGGCCAGTGGTGTGGAGGGTGAGCAGATTCACCAGAGGCAGAGTGGGGCAGAGCAGGCCAACTGCCTGAAATACACTGCTGAGGGAAGCAGCGGGCTGGTGAGGCAGGAGAGGCCTGCTCCACCATGCTCCCTGGCCAGAGATGGACAGCTTAATAGGTCTGAGACTTAACTCTTTGTGCCACCTGGGAGGGCCCTCTCCTTTCATTCTTAATGAGTCCATGAGCAGTCTCGAGCTCACAGTTCCCAGCAGGACACTACGTATGGGGACTTCGCTCAAGGAGCCCCCCCAATCTAGAAACAGATTTACAATTAGCTCAAGGTCAGGACATCTATTTAAATAGTCTGCACTAGCTGGTGAACCCTCAAAGGCAAGCACCATGGCATATTCTTGTGCACACACACGTGCCTAACACCATGACCAGGACAGGCAAAAGTTCTGTGTAGGAGACCCCAACATGAAACCTGGGTTCCCACCACTGTGACTAAATTTGTGAAACCTAGAATTTTCTGTAGAGAAAAAGCATAGGAACTTCCAAGCCTCCACTCTTGAAATCTATTGCCCCAGTAAACAAGCATAGGGCACTTATAAACATCAGACTAAAGTGATTCAACAGAAGAATGAGGGAACAATGAAGTAATTACAAACTGCTCAGTAGTGAGAGAGCAGAGCCATCCAGAAGTGTGGAGTAGAAAACAGGGTGAACTAAAATGCCCCTAAGGAGAATGAAGTGGTGTCAGGGTCTGGCCAGACCTGTTTAGCAGGACACTTATTCTCCCTGGGTTTTTGGAATGTGCTGGCCTGTATGCTGTCTGTTCCTCTCCTAGGTCAGCCCTTTCTAGGCCCTTCCCAGCTCACATCCTGCTGAGCTCTGAGCTCCAAGGTTTTCAGCCCAGACCTGGGTAGTCACCCCTGCACCTCTGCTCCTGCCGAGGGGATTGTTTGATTTCTTCATTCAGCACTTACTTAATAGTTCATGGATAAAGCAGAGTAACTCACACTTCTTAAGCAAGAGACACTCAAATGTACACTGGAGACACAGCTATGGGTTGAGTGGTTGAGTGTTTCAGGGGCTGCAGGCCTCCAGTCACAGAGTGCCCCCCGCCCCCGCCCTGGAGTGAGGCTTGCAGAGTGAGGGGGCTGGGGTGGGGGGCGCGTAAAGGACAGATTTAAGTCCCTAAACCCAGCCTCAGTGACCAGCATTCAGCACTGCAGGCAGCCCTGGTCATCGGGGAAGTCAGTGCACCAGAGAAAAGCTACATGAGTTCAAGGGGGCACTTTGGGGGCTGTTGCATGTTTCTGGGTCAGTCACTTATGTCTATATAACGTTGGGGCTACATTTTTCTTCTCCACTTGTGCATGATCTTCCCTCACCCTCCACCAAACCTCCCCTGACAGTGCAGGGCCCCCTTCTCTCTCTTCCCCACGGGCCAACCCTGCCCACTGCTGTTCCCTCCAGTAACCAGAAGATTTTTCACCAACTGTGTTTCTTGGTTATTTTCATCCCACAGATAAGTGAAAGCATCTGCAGTCTTTCTCTCACTTTCTGACTTATTACTTCATTTGCCATATAAACCGATTCTCAGTGGGATATTACTCAGCCACTAAAATGCTGACGTAGTGCCTTTGGGGACAAAATGAAGGGACCAGAGAGGACAGTTGGGGTGAGCTTCGCCAATGTGCCTGCTCACCCAAACAGAGCTACTTACTTGGAGCCCTGGCCAGTGCCCGGGGCACAGGGCACCCAGGAAGCTGGGGCAGCTCTGATTTCAACAGTGTTCTCACCTGATGCCTTAGCACTCCTGGGTGTGGCCTTTGTGTGGCTTTCTTACTGCGAAGCTCTCCAGGACACGTGGACAGTCAGCTGGTGCCATGGTCACACCCGGTGAATGAAACATCAAGGGGAACGGGGGGTCCCCATGCCGTGGGGCAGGGATGTGACTTTAGGTGGACAATGCCACCCCTCCTGAATGTATGAAGTGACCTGAGGCCTGAGTGTCACCCAGGGAAGACTGGCCTCACAGGCTCAGAGAAGGTACTCGAGGGTGGACATTCCTCAAAGGGTTTCCTCAGCCGATGAGCTCCTCATTGGCCTGTTTCCCTATGTTGGGGGCCTCACCCTGCTGTATTCCCTTCTCTGCTGCTGCACCATACTGCCCTTCAGCTCTGACTTGTGAGGAAAGTAAACTCAGTATCCCACAGCCAGTTCCAAGCTCTGGGACCTTGGGGTCTTGGTCATAGAGTGCTGTGCCCCTCCGACCTTAGGCACAAGTATTCCTGAGCCCCTGTGGCTGCTCACTCTTGAATTATTTCAGAACTGGGGTGAAACCCCACATTGTTCTCCTAGAGGTGACTCCTTCACTTCTGTTCTCTTAAGTTGCTGGATTTCTAGAACTGAAGCTGGGAAGGAACTCCCCAACCAAGCCTACTACCATCCACCTCTGTATGGAGGATGGGGGGTGAGATCCTGCGGGAAGAGAGGGAGCGTGTGGCTGCCCTGGAATTCATCTCGTAGTGGACCTTGAATTGTTCACTTGGGACTCTCTCCAAGAGAACCGCCTTCCAGATGAATCATGCCAGACTGGATTCTAGCATTCTCTTGGGTAGTACAGTCTTTGGCAGGCTGGTTCCTGCATTTTTCTGGGGATTAGGGAGTAGAATTTATGGTTCATAGATATAATTGCTCAGTCCTCGGGTTCACCAGCTGCACCTCCTTATCTGTTGAATACACATCTGTCAGCAACAGGAAACAGCCAGAAGCACATTTTGAGTTCCCATATGACTCTTCACAGGGGAAGGTGCCAGCCAGCTCCTCCGTCTGCTTGGGCTTACAACCCATTCTTGCGATTTTGGGGGGAAATGAAGTGAAAACAGGTTCACCTGTTTCCTTTCCTGTAGTGGGTTTTTTTTTTTTTTTTTTAAGAGTTATTTATTCATACAGAACTGGGGTATAGGCCAGACATGCGGAGGGTGAGAGGATTCACCAGAGACAGAGCAGGGTGCGGGTAGAACAGGCAGATCGACGAGGTACACTGCTGAGGGGAGCAGCAGGCGGGTCAGGAGAGGTCTGCCGCACCATGTGGGTCAGCTCCGGGGCAGGCAGGGATCGAACTCATGCAGAAGTGGCTTTCAATTGTCAGTGCTGCGCTTTAACCCGCTGCGCCACCAGGGAGGGCCCCCTGCAGTGGTTTTTAGGTGAAGCCAGAGCTACTTTTTTAGGGCCAAAGCATGCCTTCTGATGAGCCCAAATCTCCCATGCTCCTATTCAGCACCGGCATTGGGTCTTGGTGAGACTGATCCCCACCTCAGTCATCACACCTGAATCTACTGATATGACATGTTTCCCTCTTGTAAATGCCTCACGATAGTCTCTGGGGAGTAGAGAGGCCGATGCAGTGCCCAGGGCCCCTGTACAACATACGCCAACCAGCTGTGGCCCATCAGTGTTGTCCCCTCCTGATCCAGAGAAAACCGGGGTCCCATTCGCATGTACCAGGCTGCATGCTGGAGACGTGCCCGGTGACCCGGTGACTAGCACTTCAAGTTCAGGAGCTGCTGCCCATCTACCCTGCCGCCTGGTGCTGGGACCCAAGCAGCCATCCATCCAGGCCGCCCTCCCTCGCTCCAGCCCTCCTCACCCCTTTTCTGTTCTTTCTGCTTGATGAGAAGCTGCTTAGTGGGGTGGGTGGTGAGCGCGGGGTTGAGGGAGGCCCAGGCATAATGCTGAAGGACCAAGTGGGAAGCAGTGACCAAAGTGTGGGCAGTTTCCTGGCTTCCCTGTGGTGGCTGGGCAAGAAGTATGCCAGGAGGCTCCCAGGACCTGCTCCCACTTGCCCCGGCCTGCTCCCCCATCATAGGTGGGCCCAGATAGCTAGGCTGCTGTGTTCTGTGAGGAGGCGTGTTCTGTGTTCCCAACACTCACTTCCAGTGTCCCATTCCCTTCCTGGGGGGGAGGGCTGGGGGGCCCTTGTTTCTTGCAGTGGCATCAGTCCCCATTCACGTGGCTGTCCTGAGGTCTGGGGTCTGCAGGGAGAAGCTCCGGCTGGGCCGGTCACCTTCCTGGCTTCTCCCGGCCCAGCAGCCCTGAGCCAGTCCCTTGTCCTGGCTTTTGTGTTCTGTTTTGGCATTACTGGGTTTCCTGGCCATAGCGCCCCATCCCCCTCCCAAGGGTATCCTCAGGAAGCTGCCCTTTGTATAGGTGCTGAGCTGCTAGAAGGGTCTGTCGGGCTGGCTCATGGCCAGTTGGGTGAGGCCAGAGTGTTCTTGGCCAGTGGGGGTGGCAGAGACTGGTTGTGGGCATACAGCACCTACGATCCTCTGTTGGCCGCTTGCACTCTGCCTACGCTCCTGCTGCTCCTCCGAGGCCTCTCTAAAGCTGCAGGTGGCTCAGGGAGCAGCAGCCCATCCTCTCGTCCTCCCGTCTCCTGAAGTCACCTTAGTTTTCTGGGATGAGGTAGGGACACCCCGAGCCCAGGGTTTGGCTTTGAGGAATGCCCCCCTCCTGGGGCGGAGGACTACTCCACTTTTCTTCTAGGGCCACTCTCAGGCCTGACTGTTGCAAGCTTTCCCCTGCCCAAAGCCAGGCCTGCCCTTCACCACCACTTCTGCCCCATGTCTGGGTCCAAATGCCCTTTGGGAAAGGGGGAGACCTGAGCAGCACAATACAAGGGCTCGGCCCTCAGGTCTGGACTGAGGCTAGGGCCAGAGCCACCAGAGTCACAGCAGAATAATCCCAAGAGAGGCCCAGTGCCCGCTTCCCTCTCAGGGTCCAGACCACTGCCTTCCTGGCTCCCCCTGCCCTGCACCCCTGAGGCCCCCAGCTCCTTGAACCTTCATTGCTCTTTGCAGCAAAGTCTCTGTCTTGCACCTCTCAAAAAATAAACTATGATAAAAAGCCCTTGCTCTCCTACAACACCTCAGATTGTGCCTAGCACTGTCAAAAGTACATCAGGTCGCCCTTCCTCGTGGCGCAGCAGGTTAAAGCGCAGCACTAAAAAGTGAAAGCCACTTCAGCATGAGTTCGATCCCCGCCTGCCCCAGGTGACCCACCTGGTGCAACAGACATCTCCTGACCCGCCCGCTGTTCCCCTCAGCAGTGTACTTCGTCGATCTGCCTGTTCTGCTCCCCACTCTGTCTCTGGTGAAGCCTCTCACCACCCCTGAGCCTCTGGGCCAGACATGCGGAGGGTGAGAGGATTCACCAGAGACAGAG